GTGTGTGTGTCTGTGTGTGTGTGTGTGTGTGTCTGTGTGTGTGTGTGTGTAGCCGTCACTACGCCGTGTGTTCCTCCCTGTCAGCATGGTGGCGTCTGCGGGCCTCTGAACACCTGTGTGTGTGTGACGGGGACGAGCGGCATACGCTGTGAGAAACTGTAAGAGAACGCACACACACACACACACACACACACACACTCCTCATGTTAGTGAATTAAAGAGCAGCAGCATCCTCCTCTGTTTCAGCGTGTGTCCCGTCGTGACTACGGTGGTCAGTATGGCCCGCGCCGTGCGGAAAGGCTTTCGGGAGAGTTACGTGGACCGCTGCGGACCGCTGGGAGTCCAGCTCTGTACTAAATACAGGTCGAACACACACACACACACTCACAAATCAACAGAATCTGTCACAGTACGAGTAATGTTAAATCAGAAATAATGCTCAATGCTGCCAAAACATGTAAAAATAAATCTTTGATGCAATGTGAGCAGATCTGAATGTAATGCTATAATCGACACTTTTCATTCACTTTCACGCTTCACTTCAAATTTAGATCCTTTTTAATTTGTAATTAAATTTAGATGAATTTTTAGCCCCGTATCTTGAATTTCTTGGTATTTTGGTGCCATTTTTATCTCAAGCCCTATTAATTTCTATGAATTTTGAGGCTCTTCTGCTCACCATGGCTGATCAGAAATACAGTAAAAATTGTGAAATATTATTACAATTTAAGTGAACTGTTTTCTATGTGAATATATGTTAAAATGTAATTTATTTCTGTGATGCGCAGCTGTCTCTTCAGTGTCACATGATCTTCAGAAATCAGTATAATATTCTGCTCAAGAAACATTTCTGATTATTATCAATGTTAAAAACAGTTGTGCCGCCCAATATTTGTGTGGAAACGGTGATACATTTTATTTTTCAGGATTCGCAGATGAATAGAAAGTTCAAAAGAACAGCATTTATTTCAAATAGAAATCTTTTCTAGCATTTAAAATGTCTTTACTGTCACTTTTGAAGAATTGGATGTGTTTTCTGTGGTTGTAGGATAAATCAGGCGCGTGTGTATCTGCAGGCATATAGAGTGGGCTACAAAATCCAGTGCCCTGAGAAAACAGCAAGATGAACAACATCAAGTCTATTGTAATGCTCCCAAACACTGAACAGACACACTCACTCAGTGCATATTATATGATTGTGTATACTGGCTTTTGCACATTGTGCAAGTGTATTGTTACGGACTAATAAAGGTATTTTTGGTGACTTATTTACATGATCGTGTGATCCTCTTTGAACTGCTTTGCAAATGTTTAACCATTTATACTGAAACTACCAAAGGAAGATGAAACCGGTGCATTGTGCATTACTTCTGCTTATATACAGTGGTGTGAAAAAGTGTTGGCCCCCTTCCTGATTTCTTATTTTTTGCATGTTTGTCACACTTTAATGTTTCAGATCATCAAACAAATTTAAATATTACACAAAGATAATGCAAGTAAATACAAAATGCAGTTTTTAAATGATGATTTATTTTATTAAGGGAAAAAAGCTGTCCAAACCTACGTGGCCCTACGTGAAAAAGTCAGACATGGTGGTGGTAGTGTGATGATCTCGGGCTGCTTTGCAGCTTCAGGACCTGGACGACTTCCATAATTGACGGAACCATGAATTCTGCTCTCTATCAGAAAATCCTGAAGGAGAATGTCCGGCCATCAGTTTGTGACCTCAAGCTCAAGCGCACTTGGGTTATGTAGCAGGACAATGATCCCAAACACACCAGCAAGTCCACCTCTGAATGGCTCAAGAAAAACTAAATGAAGGTTTTGGAGTGGCCAAATCAAAGTCCGGACTTAAATCCGATTGAGATGCTTAAACAGTCCATTCATGCTCGAAAACCCTCCAATGTGGCTGAATTAAAACAATTCTGCAAAGAAGAGTGGGCCAAAATTCCTCCACAGCGATGTGAAAGACTCATTGCCAGTTATCGCAAACACTTGATTGCAGTTGTTGCTGCAAAGCGTGGCACAACCAGTTATTAGATTTAGGGGGCAATTACTTTTTCACGTAGGGCCAGGCAGGTTTGGACAGCTTTTTTCCCTTAATAAAATAAATCATCATTTAAAAACTGCATTTTGTATTTACTTGCATTATCTTTGTGTAATATTAAAATTAGTTTGATGATCTGAATCTTTTAAGTGTGACAAATATGCAAAAAAAATTTAAATCAGGAAGGGGGCCAACACTATTTCACACCACTGTATACGTGCTATATGAAATATGCCTGAGAGTTACAGAGCTGTTTGCCAACAGACAGCATCTAAAGACATGTCTGATCTGCAGAAAATAACCAGACCACCATCAGCTGAGGACGAGCAGGTGAATTAATACACACTGAATAGTCATGTAAACACAGTATCGTGATTTAAACGGAAAAAGAATGCAAAAAGATACAGTAAAAATCTCTTACTGTAAGCTATTGTGAAATACTGTAAAAATGTTTTTGGAAAGAAAAGCTTTTTTTTAGGGAAATCTGTTTTAATGCAACAATTTTAGGTAACACTTTAGTTTAGGGACTGATTTGCACTATTAACTAGTTTCTTATTAGCATGCATATTATTAGCATATTGGCTGATTATTAGTACTTATAAAGCACATATTAATGCTCATTCTGCATGACCATATTTTAGATCCCTTACTTAACTATCTTACTAACTATTAATAAGAAGCTAATTTATTGAGGGAAATGTCTTAGATAATAGTAAGACTTGAACTTGAAAATAAAGTGACCCAATTTTAATTGTTTCTATCATGCATTTACAGTCAAATATTTTTTTATGTTCAATTTTTTTTTTAATGTCTTTGTAATCTAATTACTTTTTATTTAAATATTGATGCTTCTTCATTTAATATTAGTTATGTACATATGGGTGTTTATGTTACATACAATATGGATTATGCATATCAAGGCTGGAACGTGCGAAGTGTTCGATTTTGCTGTATTTGGCTGAACAATCGTTTGTGCTAGATTTCTCTAATACATAAAGTAAGCTTGACCAAAGTTCTTGTGGCCCATGATACATTGACCTGATGCTGACCTAATGGGATAATTATATGGGCCACTTGGGTCACACTTTTGTAAACAGTTTCAGTTGATTCCATCTGAGGCACAGTCACAATTTAAATGCATCTAGACATAAACAGATATCATTACTTTATACTTTTAGATGTTCATCCTAAAATCCAATTAATAATAAGTTAATAATTAATAATGATGATGATGATTATTATTTTAATATTAAAATTATAGGTAGTATTTATAATCGTAATAATAATAGATATTAATTTATTTGTGTGTGTGTGTGTTATTAGTGTTTTTTTTTACTTTAAACCGCATAAACACATTTCATTACACCAAATACACCAAATAATGTTCTTTTTAGCAGCATCATATGACCCCTTTAACTTTATTTAGTAAAACTACACTGTGATATATATATATATACATTTTCTTTTTTTATTTATTGATGTAAAAAAAAAAAATTCTCAGTTTGAATGTGTACTTTAATGTCTGTGGTTTTGCTAAAACTGTCATGTGACCCCTGAGGCTCACGATCTGATTGGCTGCGTGGTCGCTTCTCTTTCCAGAGTCCTGTGGGTCGATTGTATTTGAGAAACATTATAGCAAAGTTAATTTCTCTGCGGGATGGAGACATCCTGTCCAGTCCAGAGCAAGTCTTCATCACTGTTGACATCCAGAGAGCTTTGATGGTACAATACAAAATCATTCATTTATCATTTATAACTTCGGCTGTGAGTGATTAGGCTCATGTTTCATTTCATAAAATCTTTTTATTTTGGAATAAAGTTCTGCTGCTGATGGCCCTGATGAATGATCAAGTTAATCAGGAGTATATCTTTACCAAACCGAATACAGGTGAGGCTGAGGCTGCTGTGTCAATCAGAGGGCGTGTCTACGGTTATGATACCAGACCCCGCCCCTCACACTCTGACACGCCCCCTGGAGGGGATGGGTGTGGTTCCGGTGACCTATCAGCTGCTAGAACAGAGTGGGGCAATACATACACAATATATTCATAATGATTTTGCTGGTGAGCAAACGTGCCAAAACTATAGAAGCTTATTTCTACCACGGGATAAATAAAAAAAAGGTTATTGCAACTTTTTATCTCACAATTCTGACTTTTTTTTTTCTTGCAATACTGAGTTTATATTTCACAATTTGTGCTTTTTTCTCTCTCTCAATTCTGAGTTATATCTCACAATTACGACTTTTTTTTTCTTGTGAATCTCAGTTTATATCTTACAATTTGGACATTTAAAAAAAAAAAATTTGTAAATCTGATTTTACATTACCATTCTGACGTTTTTCATGGGATATATTGTGATATATTTTTCCCAAAGGCAAACACTCAGAGACAGTGTTAATGTGTGCATTTGTGTGTGTGTGTGTGTGTGTGTGTGTGTGTGTATGTTTATGTGGTTTATGAGGACACAAATGTGTATAATAACATGGGTATGACATAGGTATTACAACGAGAAGGTGATTTATGAGGACATTTTCAGTGTCCCTGTAATTCAAAAGGCTTATAAATAATTCAGAATTTTTGAAAATGCAGAAAGTTTCCTGTGAGGGGTAGGTTTAGGGGTAGGGTTGGTGTAGGGCAATAGAAAATACGGTCTGTACAGTATAAAAACCATTACGCCTATGGAGAGTCCCCATAAACCATAAAAACAAACCTGTGTGTTTGTGTGTGTGTGTGTGTGTGTGTGTGTAATGCATGTCTGAAAAGGTCACACTACCTGAAGTGGCAGCAGCTCCGTGACTGTGTGTGATCTTCTGCCACTTCAGGTAGTGTGACCTTTTCAGACATGCATTAAACAAAATAAGTGGTATCGCCCATCAGCTTTACGAACACGCCCCCCGTCGGCCATTGGTCGAACAATCAGATAACTCCGCCCCCGACACACGCCATTGGTTGAGTCAGCATTGGTGCATAGATTTAGACAGGTCGCTCAAAACAAATCGGCAAAATTTTTGCATTTTAACTCTTAAAAACATAGGTAAGCTTTATATTTCTTGTGGATTGACGTTACATTAATTACATTTAATACATTCATTTTCCAAATGACTTAATTTGTATAAAATTACCATTGTATATGTCCAAAAACATGGTATTACCATGGTACTGGATGATCGCTATATCCATATGGTACTATTTACATGTTACTCCTAAGTACTTTGAAGAATACCATGGTAAAGTGTGCTAAAAAGAAATACTATGGCACTAAATGATTAGACGTGACTCAATATCATAGTACTTAAAGAATACCATGGTACATGTGTTTTAATATGGTACCAAATGTACATTGCTATATGGAACTCCAAGCTACTTCAAAAATACCATGGTGAATTGACATATACCATATTATTTACAGTATTTACTCCAAGCTACTTCAGAGAATCCCAATATTGCCAAATGGGCAAAAATGATTACCATATCTATATACTACAATATTTACTCAAATACTATAGAGAATACCATGATATTACCATGGTGTAGTGATTAACATGTAGACATGAGCAAATATCTCAGTACTCAAAGAATACCATGGTAAATGCACTTTGATAAAGTACCAAACATGGTATTACCATGGCATTGGATGATTACCATACCCATACACTACAGTATTTACATGGTACTCCAAAACACTATAAAAATGACCATGGTACTGTGGTTTTCTAAGTGCTAGAGCTGCTCCGGAGGTGTGTTTTGGAGATGCAGATGTTTGTTTGTGAAGGGGAAACTCCAAAACAATATAAAAATGACCATGGTACTGTGGTTTTCTAAGTGCTAGAGCTGCTCCGGAGGTGTGTTTTGGAGATGCAGATGTTTGTTTGTGACGGGGAAACACACACACACACACACACACACACACACTGGTGAAATGCGCTGTGTTGATGCGGTGAGTCATGCGGTTCAATGCGCTCATCTGAAGGAGGTTGATGATCTCAAGACGTGACCTCACTAGTTCATCTGCTGGATCTTTATATTAGCGGCATTATATTTCAGATCTTCAGTTCTGTCACTCATCTCTGTATGACTGGATTAATAATACACTAAAGGAGATGTTTAGGCAGAATGGATGAGCTTTATTTTCCATGCAGTGAAAGCAGGTGGTGATTAATACTCTATTTAAGCTCTATAACGCATCTGTAGGACTCGTGCGTTATATAGT